CAGGGCAGAGGCCTTCGGTGAGGGAAGACCATCCGCGAATGTAGGAAGGAGAGCAGGGGTTTCAGGAGGCCTCCAAAGGGGGCCGGCTGAGACTGAGAGGTCCGGCCTTCAACTCCAGAACCCCACATTCATGTGGCTGTGACCTTGATTCCAGACCCCTCCGGGGCAAGAGTGTGCCCGGCCCCAGCCCTCCTCCAGCACACCCCACCACTGGGGAACCCCATTACCAGCATCCCTTAAAATTAAGTCTCTGTAGCTGAGGCAGTAATTAAACGCTGAGATAAAACTGTAGGTGATAATTGACTCCAAGGGGGGGGTGTCTGACACCCCTTGGGCTGCAGAGCCTTTGAAGTTTTTATTTGAGCTTTATCTAGAAGAACGCAGAGAGCAGAGTCGGGGAGGCGGTCGAGTGCTCTGTCCAGGGCCAGGCCAGCGGTGGGCAACTGCGGACGGAGGACCGCTGGCCTGGGCTCTGCTGGCCGCTGGCCGAGCTGCTGCTCACAGATGGCCTCCGAGGTTGTCTGCAGCGAGGTCTGAGCGGCCTCGGGCCACCGGGGGTGGGCCCAGGCCACTGGGCCGGGCCCCGAGACGGGGAGGCCCGCCCCCTCCCTAGAACCAGACACGGCTCCCGGGTAGGAGTTTGTTTAAACTGTTGAGAAACTAACAGTTTGGCCAAAGGGTTTTCTCTGGGGTTGTTTAAATAAAGAGCCTGCCCCACAGTGCTGCCGAGGAAAGTGAAACCTCTCCCTTGCTGGCTGGGCAGCGGTCCCCGGAGCCTCCTTAGGGCGGGCTCCTGACCTCTCCCCTTCCTCCCTGCACACACACACACGCAGGAAAGGAGGCAACCCCCCTGTCTTGGGGCCAAGTGCGGGGCATGGGGCGCAGGCCAGGCGGGGGCACGGCCTTCCTGAGGGCGAGCATTCTGAAAACAAAAAAGCAGACCCAAGGCCTGGCCCAGTGTCACGGGCACATCAAGCGCCACACCATCCCTGCCTGCCAACATCCGTCTGGACCAAGCCGCCCTCCACCACAGGGCGCTGTCCCTGTGCCTGGCCGAGGGTCATAGAGCCGAGGCAAGACGCAGGAAGGGGCTGCGGGAACACGGCACCACGCGCTGGGTGGCTGCTGACAGCAGAAACGGATGCCTTCACGATTCTGGAGGACAGAAGTGAAAAATCCAGCTGCTGGCTGGGCCACGCTCTCTCCGAAGGCTCCAGGGGAAACTTCCTTGTCTCTTTCAGCTTCTGGTGGTGGATGCTCCTTGGCTTGTGGCTTGACCGCTCCAACCTCAGCCTCTGTCTTCATACAGCCTCCTCCCCTGTGTTTCTGTGTCTAAATTTCCCTTTTGTAAGGTCACCAGCCATTGGACTGGAGGCCTGCCCTACTCCGGTGTGACTTCACTTTAATGTGGTTACACCTGCAAAGACCCTATTTCCAAGTTAGGTCACACTCGCGGGGTCTGGGGATCCAACGGGTCTTTGGTGGGGGACATGATTCAACCCATAAGAGGTGGGGAGCAGAGGGTGAGAGGAACATTCAATGGAAGGACAGGCAGGTTCGGGTTGTGGGGAGGACTCCAGGAAGAAGGGGGTGTTTGGGGCAACAGCATAGAGACCAGAGTGTGCCGGGCCGTTTCTGCAGCTGGAACGCGCAGGAACGGGGCTGACCCACCGACACCCCCGGCGAGTCTGATCTGAGTTTGGAGGCCAGGTGCTTGCTAAGAGGTTGACCTGGCCCAGCATCCTGTGCAGGCCGCTGGGCCGGCTCCAGGCCCATGACAGTCTGCAAGGAAGCCTCGTGCAAAGAGCACGCCGTGCGTGCAGCGGGAGTCCAGCCACAGGACAAACAAAAGCCTCCCTGGAACAAAAGCCTGGCAGGAAACACACGCAAATGTCCGCAGCAGTTATCTCTGGACCGTTCCCGGTCTTCCTTCTAGTCTCCAGCAGGGGCCTGCACACGTTTCCCCAAAGGACCAGACGTAACTGCTCGAGGCTCTATGGGCCACAACCGTCTCTGTCACAGTCACCCAGCTCTGCCGTTGTAAATAAAGGTGTGCGAGCGAAACTTCACACGTGGACACCGAACCTTGGACTTCCTGTCACTTTGCCGCATCACGAAACGTTCTTCTTGTGATTTTCTTTCCACCATGTAAAAAACGTCCAAACCATCCTTTGTTCGAAGGCTGCACAGCACAGGCAGCGAGCCATCTGGCCCACCGGCCGAGCGAGGTTCGCTGACCCACGCATGAGAAGGATGCGTGCCTTTTACAGCGTTAGATGGCACGTCCTAACAACAACGGCGGAAACCGTGTAAGGAGGGAGAGCGGATACACAGGACCTCTCGACCCTCCACTCGATTTTCCTGTAAACCTGAAACTGCCATACGAGATAAAGTCTATTTGTCTTGTAAGTAAACTGAAAGGCAGGCACAGAAGTCCCTAAGAAAACCACCCAGACCCCAGCAACAAACAGGTGAAGGCAAATTAACAGACGAAAGCACACAGTCAACAAACACGACAAACGGGTTAACTTGGAGGGGCTAGAGGCGGAAACGGCTGCCTACTCAGCGTGGCCACAGCGGCCCCCCACCGCCTCCCAGAGGACTGAGCCCGGCACACGCTTCCTGGACGGCAGTGTGGCTCAGGGACCCTCTGACCCCACAACTTCCCCTCTGAGGACCCAGTCCAAAGCAGCCGCTGCAAACACAGGCAGATTCCTGCTCGCGGAGGGTCACCGAGGCCTCGCGATCACAGCAAACCCAAACCTGCGGACAATCTAAACGTCCCTCCGCGTGAGAACATCAAATACACGAAGGGCCACAGCGCAGTCAGGCGCTAAACGGTGGGCTCTGAAGAAGGGCCCAAAAAGGCGTGGAAGGGGTCAGCCCCGACGCGGCCCGCACGCGATGCACACATCACGCGAACCCAGATCTGAACGTGCGTGGAGAGCAGGCGAGCAGGAAACAGCGAAAACGCTGGCAGCAATCTCTGGGCGGCGAAGATACGGGTTTTTATTTTCTCCGTTATTCTGCGTAACGGCTTCCTTTCTACGGTGAACACGAATGTTACTTTTTAACCAGAAAAAACCCAAGACTTTAAAATGTGGTGGGGGTGGGGGAGCGTACTTAGAGGCCTCATGGTTGCCCTGGGGAGGGGCCTGGGCTCTGAGACAAGGTTTTCTCACTGGACAATCGGTGGGGGGGGGGGGGGATGAAACCGCCATGCGGGGGTGACTTATTTGGCCCTCCAGGATCTGAGCCGAGTGGGAGGGAAGGACATGAGAAGGGATGGGGCAAGAGGCCCTGTAGCCCCTGACAGCCCAGGAGGAGGAGACTGGCAGGTCGCCCAGCGCGACTTGGAGGGTTCTCACAGTTAATCCCCTCTGCACCCCAACACGGGAAAGGATTTTTCACGATGAGCAGAACAACACATCCCAGGATGCGGAGGGCCCCCAAGCCCTGCGCCCCCCACCTGGCCTTCCCAGCAGGCAGAGTGGACATCACGGACTGTCCCCACAGAACCCGCATCTCCAAGAAAGGACAGGCCCCTCCCTGCCCCGAGGTTCGCACCACCCCAGGGCGGCTCTTTCCACCCGCGTCTTTTCATGCCGGACTCGGGAAGCGGCGCACCCACCTCCCTTCAGCCCCAGCTCCCCTCGCTGGCCCCCCACCCCCCACCCCTGGCTCCGCGTGGGCTCAGGAGCGGGCCTGGAACCACACGGGCAGCACCGGGTCCCAGCACGGGCTGTCACCCATGCCACAGGCTCTAAGGCCACAAACAGCTTCACAGCTGGTAGGCAGCTGACTTATTTTTGTTTTTTAGCAATTGATTAAGTTTCTCCGCTGCCCCCTGGGGTAAGCTGTTGGACGAGCGCTGAGACCACAGCCGGGAGCCCTGGCCCAGGAGACCGTGCCGAGTGACCACAGGGGAAGTGGCCGGGCCAGGCACTGGCTCCGAGGGAAACCTGAGGCCCAGCAGCTGTTGGCCGCGTGGCCTGCCCGGGACCCTACGGGAGGCTGCAGTCCCCTAAGAGTGGCCGGGCAGGCGCCTCAGTCTGCACAGCTCTAAAATGGGGGAGTCACTCCTCTGCCCGGGAACCTGGGGTGGCCGGAGCAGCAAGGTCAGTGCCAGCCTCAAGACTTCTGTGCAGCCAGCCCCTTCCTCTCCTATCCCTGGGTTTTCAGCCCCTCACGTGGTCCTCTGCCACTTGCCTTTCCCCTGCCCCTCAGAGGCTGCCACAGCCCAACGGTCACACCCAGCTTGGACCCTCAGCCACACTTCCTTACTGAGTGACCGTGGGTAAGCGACTTGAGCTCTGTCTACACACAGGTAAGAGTCAGGAGTGGATACGGCTTCCCAGCAAAGCTGAGAGGTCCCGTGACAAGGTCAGGGAGCCTCTGAGCCCAAGGCCACAGCCCCAGCAGCCCCAGCAGCCCCAGCAGCCCCAGCAGCCCACAGCCCCAGGGGCATTGAGCACATCCCCGGGGACCTGCCTTGGGCCATGCTCTCTTTGAGCCAGCAGCAGAGACGTGGCCCAAGGGTTCGAGTCCCAGGCCAGAGAGCAGAGAGACAGGGAGACAGAACAAAGTGCGGTTGGTTGGGCAAATTAAAGGTGGGCTACCCGGTGGGTCGCTGGAAACACAGGACTGCGGTCAGAGGCTATGAAGCAGTCAGTGACACACGATGGAGAAGGCTGGGTCCCACTCCTTGGGCACACGGCTCAGCTCTTCTAAAAAAAACACTCAGAGTGCCTTCCTGAGCCCAGGCATACAGCAGGGGCTCCATAAACACCTGAAGCAATCCTTCTTCCTCCTAGAACATCCTATCCCGCGGCTCCCAGAGGTGGTGGCAGCCGCGCCTCCGGAGCTGCGGCCACGGCTCCTGAGCCACGGCACGTGGCAGGTGCTTGGGTTCAAATCCCGCCTCTGTCCCTTCTTCCGTGGCCGTGAGCTAGCTCTGATGGCCCAAACTCCTTTTAATTTTTTTTTTTAATGTTTCTTTACTTTTGAGAGAGAGAGAGAGAGAGAGAGAGAGAGAGAGAGAAAGAGAGAGAGACAGGATCCCAAGCGTGACCACCCAAACTTCTGAATCAGGCCGCCCACAGCCCCTCCCTCACCCGGCTCCCGTAGGGCACAGAAGAGTAGATCGCTCAGAAGTGTGGGTGCCTGGCACCCCCCAAGGCACACTATTACTGCTATGTCCCGCCCTGCCCTGGCGGCACAGGCAGGATGCACGGGGTGGGGTGACCCATGAGAAAGTGCTGCTGCTTTCGCTCAAAGGTGGTTGGGCTCCAGCCGTTCGCGTGGTTCGTGCACCGCACCTTACAGTTTGTAAGGCCCTGCAGGAGACACGACCCCATTTGATACTCCCAGGTCAACGAGACATGGAGAGCCCGCATTCCGTCAGGTCACAGCCACATCGTGCAGGCTCAAGGCCGGACTCAGACGCCCCAGTCCCCGCCACACCATGTCCCCCCAGAGGGGACAGAGGGGGCGCCCTTCTTGGTGCAGTCCTCAGTGCCCAGCTCTAGCAGGACCCAAACACCTCAGCTCTTGCCACGGTAGATGCTCCTGAAGATACCTAATCGATCCCAGCGTTCGTCCAGGGGCTGATGGCGGTCCCCTGGGAAGCCAGGATCCCTCCCAGCTTCCCTCCCTCGAAGTGGGTGTGGGAGCACATCGCAGCACTTCTCCCAGGGGGGCTGGGGCTGTCTGAATGGAGACCCGAGGGACTGTCAGGTGAGGAGCCCCAGATAACAGGTGCTCGAGACAACAGGCATAGCACCGGCAAAGGCAGATAGGCAGGTGCTCAGACGGTGGGCTGGAAGGGACCGAACTGTCCATTTCAGTTGGAACAGGAGGCAAAGGGTGAGAAAGAGCCTCCTGGCCTCTGTCTGCTGATAAGCCAGAGGCCCCGGCGTCAGCCCGGCACATGCAGGCCATCAGGTCACTGCCTGTGGGGCACTTGCGGTTGGGGAAGGTTGAGGCACTAGGACACGGTCATTAGAAGCAAGACGGAGGGCGTGCAGCCATCACCAAAGCCAGAGGGGGCCCGAGGGGTGCCCGGCGGGTGGGGCGGGGACAGGGAAGGCCTTTCTCTGGCAGCCTGGGGGTTCCACCAGGGCTCGGACGTGCAAACCCAGAACCTGACTCAACAGACTGAGCTCTGGGGCCGGGCTGAAGCTGGACTCAGGTGGTACCAGCAAGGGGACACTGGACAGGCTGGGGTGAGGGTGGGGGGGGGGGCCGGCCCCAGGGGCTGATCTGGGGCCAGGCCGGAGCCGGACTCAGGCTGCACTAGCAAGGGAGACATCAGACAGGAGGGAGGGGGCCAGGGCCAGTGCTGGGAGTGACGGCAATCCAGCCCTCCGTCGGTGGACCCAGGGCATCCGCGGAGCTAACCACACCCAGGAGGTGCCATTTGGTCTCATCCCCCAGCCCAGGATGACCGTTTTCTCTTTCCAAGAATACGGCATGGTCCCCTCTTCTCTTTTATTCGATGTAGAAGTTAGTCTTCAGGCTCAGACACAAAAGACCACATGGTGTGTGGTTCCATTTCTAGGACGTTCCCAAACAGGCAAAACTAATCCGTGGTGATAGAAGTCAGGACAGAGCTGCCCCTGCGGCATGTGGGGGGGTGGGGGGCGCTGCAAAGGGCACCAGGGAATCTCCCGGGTGCTGGAAACCTTCCGGATCCGGACCGGGGGTGGTGGTTGGGCAGATATATACAACTGCCAAATCGAAATCAGAATGTACGCTTGGAATCTGTGCATTTCACCGTCGGCAAGTTATACCTTCGTTTCCAAAGAAAATGCAAAAAAAAAAAAAAAAAAGTTAGTGCTTGGACTTGTCACACCATTTCCTGGGACTGTGCAATCTGATTTTCTTGCTATTAAAAATTCACGGTCCATGGCTGAGGACAGCAGCTGCCTTCTGTTTGCAGAGCCAACGCCAATCACAGCCCGGCCGGCGTCAGCCTCAGCCACAAGGGCCTCCTTTCTTTTCCCTTTGACCTACTTCCCTGATAAGTGACAAGACAGCCAGACTGCGAACAAACGCGCCCCTTATTCCTCGGCCCTGAGCCTCGGCTAATCCACCCAGGGAGACGGATGGATGTGAGGGGCTTTGAGACCTCGCCCCAGTTGTCAGTCTGCCCGTCGGACCCGACAGTGACGCCTCTGTTCCTCCCCGCCCCCCGCCACCTTGGCCCACCACATCCCCTCGTCCTTTTGTTCCGAGTCCCTGCGAACATCTGTTAAAACTACTTCTTGGCGAGGTGCAGCGGGCGGCCCCGTAAATCATGCAGCCCGAGCCGCCCGCCCGCCCGCCCCGACACGCAGTCACGGCCTCCTCTGGAAAGGCCACGGAGGAGAGCACGGAACGATGCTCAGGGCCAGGCTGGCCACCGCGGGGCAGTGAAGCCGCGTGCCCCGGCCACGGCCCCGGTAAGTCACCTGCCCCAGTTGTCCGGGCCTCGAGCGGGGACGCGCACCGCCCAGAAGCCCCCAGTGATGAGGAATGTGCGGGGACGCCACCGGAGGCAGCAAGCTCCCTCGGACGGTGGTGGCAACTCCCAAATAAGGCCCCGCTACTGCTGTTTTTAGGCCATCCCACATAATTGGAAAAACATGGGGAAAACCAAAGCCAGCTGGGCGCCTCCATCGGCCAGGCTGCTGGGGAGGGGTGCGTGGGATCGCAGCCTGGCCCAGGGATCCTGCCCCCCCCCCCCCCCCCACCGCTGGCTGGCGGGACAAGAGTCACTCAGGCCCCGGGGTCTCACCAAGCCGCTGGCTGAGCTGGAGCCCAAGGGGGCGCTGCTTGCTATGACATCCTTCCTGGTCTCGGAACCTACAGGACCCCCACTGGGGCCAAACTTCAGGAGGACCCAGAGGGCCATGGGACACAAGACACTCCTGACCCAGAGGAAGGGAGTCCTGAGCCTCCTGTCCGGTCTGCGTGGACCCACACAGGCACCGTGGGGAACAGCCTCTCATCTGCCCCCCCCCCCCCCCAGTCATGCTGGCTCTCCCCATTTCACAGGGAGAGAGCCCGCAGCTGGGAAATGGCCAGCCCCACCCCATGCCTCCAGGGGACAGCTTGCAGGCCCTGGGCCGTCACCCCCTCCCCCACGCACTGGGGCCAGCCCCCTCTTTGGGGAAGGCACCGACTCCCAGCGCTGGGCTGGCTTTCATTTGCTCAAAATCAGAGAAACATAGGACTCTTGCACAGCACAAACGTTTCTTCAGATTCAAGTCCACGGCATGATAACCAGCTGCCCAGACTGAAAGTCCCAGGACTCTGAGGCCATGGCTTCAGGTCTCGAGATGTTTCCGGCCGTGCAGACTTTCTCCAACTGCTGCTCATCAGCCTGCCTTGGGCGCCTCCGCCTCCCACACCCGTCCCTTGTCCTGGAGACTCCGATTTGCTAGGGCCGGGGAATCTGGATGCGACACGAGGGTCCAAGTAATTCCGACACATCCAGGCCCCCCCCTCAGACCCCGATCCCACCCGGCCCGGTGCTGGCCTCGATCCCTGCAGAGGGCAGCCACATGCCCCGTGCCCTCGGGACACATAGCTCACTCGCCTGCCCGTCTCTCACCGTCTGTGTGAGGAGGGCTCCCCGCCCACCGCCGTCCCCTCCTAGCACCAGCCGGCCTCATCATCTACTTCTGATTCCAAACGTCCAGGAAAGAGTTGCCCTTGTGGCACCAGACTGCCCGCATGCCTGCCTGCCTGGCTCCAAGTTCAAGTTCAAGCACAGCTCGTATTTGTTGCGTAGTCAGGCCCTCCTCCCAACAACCCCCCTCCCCCAAAGCAGGTACTATTATCATCTCTTTTTTTTTTTTTTTTAATTTTTTTTTTCAACGTTTATTTATTTTTTGGGACAGAGAGAGACAGAGCATGAACGGGGGAGGGGCAGAGAGAGAGAGGGAGACACAGAATCGGAAACAGGCTCCAGGCTCTGAGCCGTCAGCCCAGAGCCCGACGCGGGGCTCGAACTCACGGACCGCGAGATCGTGACCTGGCTGAAGTCGGACGCTCAACCGACTGCGCCACCCAAGCGCCCCTATTATCATCTCTTTTTACAGGTGAGGAAACAAAGCACAGAGAGGCTGAGTCATTTTCCCAAGATCACACAGCCGGGACATGAGTGAAGGTATCCTAAAAGGATAACTGGGCATAGAAAGCCATCCCATAGTTGGAAACTGCTCTGAGACTGGGCCCCCCCCCCAAGACTGAATTTCCTCACCACCCCGAAAGTCCTGGCAGACTCTCAACTACAGACCAAAGGCACAGCCCTCAGCTGTGGCCTCAGTAGTCACCCCCTGGGATGCTGGACCTCGCGGAGTCCGGGGCCAAGAGGAGATCCACAAGTGGCCCCGGGGCCTCCTTTGCCAGCCCCTGAATCGCATCCTCCCACTGGTCACCCCGGCCTCGGAAGCCTCCGTGGGTGCTGCTCTGATCCAGCCAGGAAGGTGCCCTGCACCGGGTTTGCGCCCGCCGGGACCTCTGGGCTCCAGTGTCAGCGGTGACATCCTGCAGGGTTTAGCGTTTCGCCGTCTCCACGTTACCCTCGCGTTTCCAGCGACCATCTCCAGGCCATTTTCACAACCAGTACCCTGCACATCATCAGCAGTCAGAATCCACATTCCACGTGTAGTTCACGCCCCCCCAGGAGGCAACACTACATGCGCCAGGGGGCGTGGGCAGCCTGGAAGGCCTCGCGAGAAAAGGAAAGCGGCCAGGGTACTCAGGTGACAGGATCACAGGCTTCTAATCACACGGTTTCCTTTAACGTGATGTTCTGTGGCAGGAAGCAACACCTGGAGGGCAGGTCTGCACCCCAAAACCCAGCTTGCCAGCGGAGGGGGCGCGTTCTAAATCTGAAGCCCTCGTGATCCTCGCCCACGGCCCCGTCTCGGACTCCCTGTGTCTGTCGCCCAAGCACAAGGAACGCCCCTCAACGACAGAATCCGTTCCTCACGCATGCCCGGATCCCTCTGGATTGAGAAACACGGACAGACACCCTCCACCCTTCCACCCCAAGTTTCCAGAAGGCCATCTTGGTGGCAAACCCTTGAAATGTTCTGAGAAGCTCCTGGAGGTCTTCTCGACTGAAACTAAAATGTTTAGGAAACTCTGTTTCCAGGTTCCCACCGCCAACGGCTTCCCACTTCCGCTTCGAGTGGGTCCAGGGCGGGGGGCTGCAGAAGGCCCCGTGCAGCCCCCAGAACCAGCCAGTCTGTGAGCGAGAAGCACGTGGGGTGGGAACCACGCTTATAAACAGGCGGAACCCGAGGGTCACATCCTCGTGCAAAAGCCAGACTCCCAGCCCATGCTGTCCACGTCGTCTGGGAGCCTCCCTGACCTGTGACGTCCCCTACGGGGCAGCCGGAGTCAAAGGAAAGGTGCAGCCTCAGTGTAAGAGTGGCCCCGGGCTGCCCTGTGCAAGACGCCCCCGGCCACCCACACCGGCTCCTCCGAATGACGACAAAAGCGTTTTTCGTCCGCACGCTTGGCATCCTCCCACTGAGTCATTTGTGAAAGTGTCTTTCACGGCTGGGAGGCAGAAACAGTTCTTACGAGACCAGGGAAGGTGACCCCGAGCAACTGAATCCATCCCGGGGGGGGGGGGGCGGGGAACCTGCAAGCTGGCCACTCTTCCTGAAGGAGGCCAAGAGACGTGGCTCAGCCCCCTGCCACACGACTTCCAACCGGGACAGCCCTTGCTGCTAATCCTCCGGATCCACCCCACAGGAGTTCGGGGGAGTTTCCAGGACCCCCCCCCCCCTGGAGCCGCCTCCCCCAAGAAGCCCTCTTACCCCAGGGCATCTCCCCTCTTCTGCCCCCTGCCTCCCGCAGATGTTTGCAAAAAGAACCGAAATGCCCTCAAAGGGCCTGACCCCAGGCAGTGGTCCCAGAGCTCAGAGGCTCCGGCTACTGGAATGCTGAGAACCAGAAAGTCCCCGTTCCTCTGCCTGGAAAAGAAATCAGCCCTCCCCCTAGGGGTGGGAGGGCCGTGGGACGATGGAGGCAAACCTAGGCTTCCAGAGGCCCTGCCCTTCCCCCTCTGGCCCAGCGTGACGATGGACGTGGCTGCCATATACTGTGCACTCACGACGTACCAGGGGCCCAGCACAGCACCTGTGATACCTATTGATACAACACTGTGTCCTCCCCAGCTTCCCCGGCTAAGGGGTGGTCTGTGACCGCCCCCGCATCTCACAGATGAAGAAGAGCAGCAGAGTGACAAGTCCCCAGGCGCTGTCCACCCCCGATGACCAATACCCTTTGTGCCCCCGGGTAGCTTGGGCAAGTCCTTCGTGGAACTGTCGGCTTCCCCAGCTGTGCACCTGCACCGGGCCAGGACTCTGGCATTGTGACCCCAGACTCCAGTCCTGGAACTCTGACGCGTGGACCTCCTGCCTCACGGGGCCCCTGCGTCAGCTCCCCACCAGGGTGCACACTGTTGCATGATGTACCTTTTGGGGGGTTGTGTCCACCCTCCCCCCTCCCCCCACCGCCTTCCCGCTCCTTCCCCAAAGGTCCACATGCAACCTGGCTCTGCCTGGCTGGGCAGAGATGCAGGCAGAGATGGCAGCCACGCCTGTCCTTCTCCCAGAACAGATGGTCACCTCCCCATTCGGCACAGCGCTTGGACGGGGATCACCGATCAACAGCAACAGCACCAGATTCACATCGCCCTAACCAGTGGGCCAGGCCCCAGGCTGGCTCTCTCACGGCGGCACGGCTTGAAAACAGCAAAGACACAAAAAAACGGAAATGCCCAACAGGGGGGAAGATGGTTCACCGGACAAGTATTTTTCAGGCACGACTCATGTTATAGAAACACATGCCTCTCCTCTAACTGCCGATGCCCCTGCAACAGCGTCAGGGGGAATGCGGAGACACTCGTGGCAGAACGGGAGAGAAAGATACACTGAGACACGAGGCGTCTCCAGGTTTCTCTTCAGCTTCTCTACACACAAAGCAGGACGGGCTACGTAACGCGCAGGGCCGCTGCAGGCTGAACACAGGGAGCCCCTGCCCCAGAATTATCCAGCATTTCAAGTCAGCGACAATGGAGCATTAAACCAAGCACGGGGCTCTTTGGAAGCCGGGGCTCTGTGTGACCGCCCAGATCAAATGCCTGTGAGGTCAGCCCCGACGCCACCTAGCTCTTGCCTCAGGGCTGCCGCACATGCTGTTCCTCGCGCCTCTTCCTTGTTCATTCTCAAGTCTCAGCCTGTCTCCTGGGAAGGACCTTCCCTGACCTTCCATCTGGGCCTCCAGCCCAACCCCCCACCCCCGCCCTCAGTATGTTATTCTGCGTCTCAGTCCTTCCTTTGTGTCCTGTGTTACTCTGATCCAAATCTGAATTCGCATTCTTCATTCACGTGCCTGCTTGGTTCCTGTCGACCCCTCCACAACTCAGAGGGACATTCCCTGTAGGAAGAACAGGGGGCTGGAGCGGGGTGGGGGGGGGAGGTTCACATTTACCGCTCTGTTCTCTGCACGCAGCACACGCAGGCACGCGGCCGTTCCTTGTGGACATGCGGAACTTGGTAGACTCCCTGTTTGCCAGGATGAACTTTTTGTTTTAAACCTGTGCCTAAAGGAGTGGTAACACTCCCTCGGCTCTGGTCGCAGGTCCCCAGGGAAGCCCCCAGTCTCCCTTTCCTTCCCCCCAAGTGCCACTGGCCCAGGGGGCGGCCTGCTTCCTGACGTCTCTCACCGGCCTCTCGCTGGCCACTCCACTGCCACCCGGCTGTGCTGGGCCCTAGACACCCCCAGGGACAGGCTGCACCCTGGACACACCTTATTCCCAGAAAAGCACACTGTGAACGTGACAGCCAGAAATAAGGAGCCTCGGACGGTGCTCCAGAGGAGGGAGGGGTGACACATCATTAGAAGACGGTCATTGTAGGAGACCTTGAAGCAGCAAGTGCGGCAAATGAAGGGCGGGGGGAGCACCGAGAAACACTTGTGTGGGGGGAGGGAAGTCAACTGAACTTCACGCACCCCCAATTTTTTCCACTGAGCAAGCGTCTGCAACCCGAATTTCCGTGGGGAGGGTGGTCATTGGGGCACGAAGATCCCATGGAAATGGGACGTAAGGATGAAAATGCATCAGAAAGTCCCTATCAGTGTGGAAAATGCTTGTGGAAAAAGCAGAAAAGCAGGAGACGAAGCCAGCGGGGAGGCCCGCAGCCCCACGCCGGCAGCGCGTGCTTGGGAGAGCCGGGAAGGCAGGAAAGGAGACGTCTGTTGGGCGCAGATCGCGGGGCGTCTCCTGATTCACAGTGTTCCCCTACACGACTGTCCTTTTTACAACACACACAGCGTTTGCTCGGCAAGTCGTGACAGCGAGCATCTCGGCTACAATCACTGCTTTCTGGCAGCCGACTGCGAGGTCACCGGACAGACCAGACCTGAGTCCCGAGCCCTGCATCCCAGCCGCTGGGCCGCCCAGGTGCCCCCGGCTGCGGAGCTCCGAACACATGAAACCTTCGCCGAGGGAAGGAGACCGCCAGCCCCCCCCCCCCCCCCCCCCCGGCCGGGGCCCCCCCCCCCCCCCCCGCGCCCCCCCCCCCCCCCGTCTCACCTGCCTTGCACGTCCTGCCGTTGTCCTGAAGCTGGACACCAGTGGGGCAGGCGCACGTGTAGAAAGGCTCCCTCGGGGACAGCAGGCACAGGTGAGAGCAGCCGCCATTGTCCTCCGCACACCGCGTGTGGACTGGGGAAGACAGGGCGGGGTGAGAGAAGGTTCCAGAACACAGCCCTCGACCCCACCCACCCACCCACGCCACTCCATGGGGGCATCCTCCCTGC